AAAAAATCGAACTTGAGGCTAGAAGAAAAAAGAGAAACCTAACAATCCATCGTGTTCGTTTTCTGTAAGCAAATTCTTCCTCTGTTTCTTGGTTTTGATTGTTTTGTAATGATCTTGTTTAGGTTTCATTCCGTGTTCCAGCCTCGTCTTCTAGGGTTTCGGTTTTTCTTCAGTTTGTTTAGCTACTGTTTTTTATTTTGTTCACTTGTTAGTTGTTGTTACTCTGCTCAGCGCGCGCTTCATTGAAAGTGAAAGTGATAAAATGTTTCATTTTTTTCTCTCGACTTTAATATGGCAAACAAGAAAACAAATCATAAGAAACACAAAATCACTTCTTTTATTTTCCTTCAAATAATTGGGACGTAACGTTTTTATTTAATTTTACATCATTTAGTTTAGAAATATACGACGATGGAGATTTGAAGAACAAAACAAAAGATATATATGATTTAATCAAATAAGCAGCAACAAACAGGACCGGTGGGTTTGTCGAAGAGGCAGTGACCGTCCATGGGTGTAGCGTCGGTGCTCCTGTGACAATGTTTGTCGCAGTCGCTGTCGTTGTTGCACGTTCCTCTTAAGCGGCATGGTCCGTCCATTACTTCTTTTTCTGTTTTTATGTAAATTTAACACACATGTATATATTATTAGGTAAAAAAAAAAGAACAAGTTTTGCTTTTAAAAATATTTGTTATTTTTAAGGGAAAAAACTTAGAAGTACCTGCGGATTGGGCAGTAATACTAATAACGAGAGAGAAGATGACGAGAAGAGCAACAAGTTGAAATCTTGATGAAGCCATTTTTCTCTTTTGTTATGCAAGATATTCAACTTTAAATTTGTGTTTGGAAAATTATTATCTAGTTTCGGGGTTTTATACGTTAATTTAGCTTTAAAGATAGTAATTTTGTTTTCTTTTTAATAGTATAGACCATTTTTAGTCAAGGTAATTTATGGTTAATATAGCAATAAAATAAAATAAATCTCCTCAAAATAGAATTAGCTATCGTTTCTTACTTCTAAATTTGGTGAGGATATGAAAGAATGGACGGTAGAGGAGTGACTTTGGAAAATTTTAAGAACCTCTACGCGTTGACTTACAATTCAATGCAAACACATCCAGTGCAATGTCTATAATATGAAAGTATCTTAGCTTTAATTAAAAATATTAAACATTGATACTCCCTCCGTTGTTCTTTTATAAGTGATGTTTTAAACATCTAAATTTGTTCTTATATAGATGATGTTTTCAATTTTTAATGTAAAATTAATTACGTTTTTATCATGGTTTTGACGATTTATATTCTGTAGATTGTTTTTTTATTGGTTGATTAGATAATAAATGATATTTTAGTTTAGAAATAAACAAAAATTAAATGATTTCTTAATCTATGTGCATTCTCCTAAAACATCACTTATAAAAGAACGGAGGGAGTATTATTTACCAAATTTTAAGAATATTTCTTACTAATTGTATAAATTTTTAGACCAGAATTTATACATTTATGTATTGGAAGATCATATCGATGTTTTCTATCTATACGAAAACATGCATATCTATTTGCGACACATCATCCAACATAACATGTCCAAGATCATAAGTCTCAAATAAATAGCATGCACACGTTATTAAACCAACAACAAAGAAAACAAAAATCTTATTAATTTCCTTGTAGAGTCACCGTCAAAACTAAATCTTATTAGTATTAGAAAAATCTTATATTGAATGTAAAAAAATGGTATGTGGTAGAGTAATACATAAATGATCCAAGCATTTTTATTCTTTTGCAATTGATTTTGAGTAAAAAAATCTATAAATTTTAATTTGGTATCACCATAATAGAATCCGTGCAATTTTGCCTGAAATAAATGAATTAAAAAAAATTACTCCTTCTGTTTCATTATATAGGATGTTTTGGATTTTTATTAAGTTTCATTATATAAGATGTTTTACAAGTTTCAATGCAAATTTTAAATGTATTTAATATTTTTTATTATATAGATTATGCAGTCTTTTTTGTAATTGGTTAATTTTTTAAAAATTAAATATTAAATGATAACTTTAAAAAGAAAATTAAATTTCTTAAAAAATGTGGTTTTAGCTAAAACATCGTAAAGAAAGTTTTACACATTGAAAGAAAAAAAAAGAAAACTATAATATATTCCGTAGTTGCCATGATTGATTAAATTGGGCCTATTAAACTAATGGGCCTGTTATATTGATAATCAAGGTCAAGCCTCGTGAGTGGTTAAAGAAAGATCTCTTCATCAGAGAATTGAAGATTGGGGAACACAAAACCAATCACCGGCGATCGGAAACCGGCGGCGTAAGCTATGAGCAGTAAGGCAGGGAAGCTGGTGACTTCAAGATCCGAGCTTGATCTCGATCACCCTAACATCGAAGATTACCTTCCTTCTGGTTCTTCCATCAACGAGCCTCGCGGCAAGCTCAGCCTGTCAGAAATTTCCGTTGAAATTTGAATTCGATTTGATCAGCTGATTAAGTAAGTATTCACCGTTCTTTATTATTGCAGGCGTGATTTGCTAGACATCTCCCCAACGCTCACTGAAGCTGCTGGTGCCATTGTTGATGTAAGCTATTTCAGACTAAAACCCAAATCTGTCTCACGATTACTCTGTCAAAGACTTCAAATTTATGACATAAAGGATTGATTTTTGAATATAAGATGTTTGATTAAAAAAAAAAAAATCATTTTGTTGGGTATGATTGTTGCAGGACTCGTTCACAAGATGTTTCAAATCGAATCCTCCAGAACCTTGGAACTGGAACATTTACTTATTCCCACTATGGTGCTTTGGTGTTGTTGTTAGATACTGTATTCTCTTTCCCTTGAGGTTGGTTCCTCTTATTTATTCAATTCTATATGGCTCTTCTCCTATCCAGAGTATGGGGTTCTTGTTTATAGCTCAAAGTTAAGATTTGCATGTTCGAACTGAGCGGTTCATTTTTTTAAAAACTTGCAGGTGCTTCACTTTAGCTTTTGGGTGGATTATTTTCCTTTCATTGTTTATCCCCGTAAATGCGCTGCTGAAAGGTCAAGATAGGTTGAGGAAAAAGATAGAGGTTGGTTGGATTCTCTGTTTCTCTCGTTTGTCTTCTATGCTTTGTTGATATTTTTCTCTCTTCTGGAGCTCAACTACTGATATCTTTATGTTGAAATTTGTACTGTTTTTTGCTGTATTACCAGAGGGTCTTGGTGGAAATGATATGCAGCTTTTTTGTCGCCTCATGGACCGGAGTTGTCAAATATCACGGGCCACGGCCTAGCATCCGTCCTAAGCAGGTCATGCTTCATTTTAAAAAACTTTACTTCGTATCTCCATGACACATATGCTTACTTTATGAGTGGGTTTTACAGGTCTATGTTGCCAACCATACTTCAATGATTGATTTCATCGTCTTGGAGCAGATGACAGCATTTGCTGTTATAATGCAGAAGCATCCTGGCTGGGTTGGTAAGTCTCAGGCTGTTAGAGAGCGAAAAGTGTGCTTATGACCTTTATCATTGCTCAGTTTTTAATAGGCTTGTGACTGATTTAGTGATTGGTTTGCCCTTTGTGCATTATTTTGTGAAAGCCATGATTGACTTTTGTTGCTTTATATATGAAGGGCTTCTGCAAAGCACAATATTAGAGAGTGTGGGATGTATCTGGTTTAATCGTTCAGAGGCAAAGGATCGTGAAATTGTAGCAAAAAAGTATGCATGATTCTTATCCTCTTTTAAGTGTCATTACGTCATCTACTCATACTAATCATGGAAACATGAATTACGTGATTCAGGTTAAGGGACCATGTCCAAGGAGCTGACAATAATCCTCTTCTCATATTTCCCGAGGGGACATGTGTAAATAATAATTACACAGTGATGTTTAAGAAGGTATTTGAACCTAACTTTGATGTGATTTGCATTCCTAATATATTATAGTTTCTGATTTGCTTCATGACAATGTTCAGGGTGCTTTTGAATTGGACTGCACCGTTTGTCCAATTGCAATTAAATACAACAAGATTTTTGTTGACGCCTTCTGGAATAGCAGAAAGTAAGGGTATTTTCTTTAAGACTTTCATATTAGCCGGGACAGATACTTTTGAAAAGGATTAAGAAGCATTTCTAACTTATGATACGACTATTGTTTTACTTATATTGAGTAGTTGCGATTTGGAGCCTTTCTTTGTCTTGGTAACAAAATATCTTGCATGCTCTTTGCAGACAATCATTTACTATGCACTTGTTGCAACTCATGACATCATGGGCTGTTGTGTGTGAAGTGTGGTACTTGGAACCCCAAACTATAAGGCCTGGTGAAACAGGGATTGAGTTTGCAGAGAGGTAAAAAACATTCTTCTCTTGGACCTTCATCAGAGAAGTCATACACTAAGAAGTTTGCATCCACTTTACTTACTTGTGACAGGGTCAGAGACATGATATCTCTTCGGGCGGGTCTCAAAAAGGTCCCTTGGGATGGATACTTGAAGTATTCGAGACCAAGCTCCAAGCATAGTGAACGCAAGTATGTACAATGCGTTTTTCTTTCTAGAAATTCTACTGTCATTATTCTTTCTAGCTGAATCTCTGAAGAATTTTCAGTAGCATGGTTATCTAGCAGCTGATTAGATCAGAGTCATACTTGGAACTTGCAGAAATTGTTCTGATCCTTGCCTGTTGATGCTGATTTTTCTTTGATTGAATTCCACAGGCAACAGAGTTTCGCAGAGTCGATACTGGCTAGATTGGAAGAGAAGTGAATGTAAAGATTGAAGTTATATTTATGTCATGTGGTGTTTTCATTTTTACATTAGAGATACTCATGCTTCATGTTCACCATGTTTCTCAATACAATACATTGTTGTGAATTTATCAATAAACATAACTCACTTTTGCATCTTGTTCTTACACTACATCACAAATTTGCATACTCTGGAAACTAGAGTCAAATTTTTATGTCTCATTTCCTTTTTTTTGGTAGAAATTTCTAATTTTTAAGATATTGTAAGAACGAACAAAGTCACAAACACATATTTACCAAACTTTTTTTTGAAAAATAAATATCAGAGATCAATGACGATTTCAATAATCATCAGAAGAATTCAGTGGAGGCGTATCCATACCGCGATCTACGAATGTTCTCTCGCCGTTTCTTCAACAGATAACCGCTGAATCCAACCATACTCGCAGCTGAAATCGCTCCAACCACGATTCCGGTCTTCTTTCCTCCGCCGCCATTTTCACCGCCTCCCGTTCTGGTACTATCAAGGTAGTTGAGATCACTGGAATCTGTAAATTGAGACGAAGAGGGATAATCGTTATCATCAGACATCGTCGGAGATGGAGACATTTCGGAGTCAGATGGTGAAGAAAGAGATGGAGGCATTTCGGTTTCTGATTGCGGCAGAGACGACGATGGCTCAGGCTCAATCGCCGGTGAAACTTCTTCAGTTGAAATCTCACCGGTCACAACTAAAAGAGCCACAATGATGAAACCGAACTTCATCATCATCATCATCTCGAAAATTCAAACCTCTCTCTGTTTCTTCTCTCTTTGGATGGTTGATGACACTGAAGCAGAGAGATGTAGAATTTATAGTGTACGTATGACGAATGAGAATTCGCCACGTCAGAAGTGTATTAGAAGCTAGCCAAGTATCAGATCATGGAGTCAATTTATTGATTTTCCCACTTAAAGTTGGTATGAGTAACACTGAGAATTGCTTTGGCACCTAAATTCATGCCTAACGGTCAATGCTTTGGGATCTGGAAATTAATTTTTTGGTCTATAAAAGGAGCAAATGAGAAGGATGGAATATAAAAGAGCCAATTGTCAGAATCGTAAGGCAAGCAACCATTTTATAATACTGACGCTTACCAAAGAAAATTTATTTGTAATTGTGTTACTTGTTATAGTGTGTGACACTACACTTCTATTAGTTTGGCTTTCTACATTTAGAAAAGTTGAGACCAAATCAAAAGAAATTGTCTTTCTCATAACTAAAATTACTTTTATCTCCATCTTTCTCTAGTTCAAACTCATAATGACACAACTCTGATCATACATATAACTTAAGGAGACGTGTAAAATACCCTTTTCTTAACTTTTGATCACAATTCGTCCTTCGAGTCACTTTGGCTACTCTTTGTCGTGCTATCGGGTGATTCTTTGGTCTCGGTAGTTTCTACTTTTGGTGTGGACTCGGCAGTTTTAGGAGATTCGGTTGATGCAGGTTTCTCCAGTTTGAATGGGATTGTGGCGTGTTTCCTTAAAAACTTGTAAAATGCAACCACAGTGCGGTCTGTATCTACAGTTATCTGCTCAACACAACAAAAGAAGACAAATTTTTCGGTTTTTGTAGAATCTACAAAGACAAAACCATTTCAGCCAGAAGAAGCACAACTTACCGGCTCTGAAGTCTTGTTGCCCGCAGGGAAGAAGAGAATGGTAGGGAACCCCTCAGCCTGCAAAATATTTTACACCATAACCAGAAAAAATCAACTCTTGAGGTTTTTAACATAAAAAGGTTCTCGGTGTCTAGAGATGTATATTTGATAAGTTTCTTACCTTTGCCTTGGGATGTTCGTTGGTTGTTCCATCCATCTTGGCTATGACGAGAGAATCAATACTTCGTAAATGCTTGGCAAGTTTGTTATACATTGGCTCAAGGGCTTGGCAATGGCCACACCATGGTGCATAGACCTGAGTTTTGTTTTAAGAACCAAGTATTGATGAAATGAGAAAATGTGAATCCATATCATTTTATTAACGAATTTTAATACAATATTACCTCGAGAAGCACATCTTTAGAATCGTCCAGAACAATTTCATCAAAGTTATCTCCAACCACTATTTTCACATCTCCATCGTTCTGTAGCCACCAAAATTAAGTCTCGGTGTTATACGAACCAACAAAACAGTTGGAAACTGATGATAAAAAGAAACAGCTTTACCTTTTCAGGAATGGGGTCTGACTTATAGAAAGGCTTTAACTTGTCGTTCAGGAAATCCTCCCCAAATGTCTGCAGGAGATTAGAGGTATAAGTTTAACATACAATCTTTACATTTTACAGTGAAGTAAAAATTTATGAATGAAAGAAAATTCAAAGAGATACCTTAATTTTATCTGACTTGATCTCGCCATCGAAAAAGTATTTTTTAGGGTCTTCATTCCCTGTGTAAGCAATAAGCTATACACAGACCAACATTTGAGATGTAATCAGTATATGCTTATTGAAAAGATCTAGGACTCAGATTCTAATAAATGTGCCACTTTTAAACCCATAACAAAATAAATACAATCGACTTACTTTAGGACCATTTCCAGACACACCAAAGTATTCAGCGACTGGCTTCCCATAATCCTCATTATCCAGATCCACAGATACAAAGATGAGCTGTAGCAAGAAACAAAGGCTTCTTAGAAGTAACTTTTTCATTGTGCCCCCAAAGATCCTCTTTCATGGATTTGTCTTGATGCAAAACAAGAATATCAAATACATCGGTTTACAGTAGACTAGACCTATCTTCTTACCTTTCCTTTGAATGATTTCGCTGCTTCTTGAAATTCCGGAAGAACCTTTTCAGAGTCATTTTGGGTTGCAAACAACAACAACTGCAAAGAGAACATATACTTTCATGTTAGTACACGGACTAAAACCATCTTCGAATTCAAATTGAAAAATCTTATTAAAATCATTGACAAACCTGTTTCTTGATTGCACTCTCAAAAATTTCCGGTGCAGTCTCTCTGGTGAAAACAGAGACCAAAGCAAGCTTGTTGGCAGATACAAAACTAACTAAAGCAGACTTAACAAATTCCCCATCTGCAGATTAATAACACAAACATAAAAAGCATAAGCCCAAGAACAAGATCACTAAATCAATGCATAACAAAGATTTACAGAGAACCAACCATAATGGCTAATCTTCTCCTCTTCCCTCTTAACTAGGACAAGAGCAGGCCTTTTAGACTCCGGATCAATGTGAAACATCTTGGCAACATCAGGATTCACTGTTTGATAGAAGTTCACATCGTCCTCAACTTTGGAAGTAGCAGCAAGTTGATCGTGCTCAACGCCCTGTGAATTTCGCCAAAAAATGTAATAAATTATGTTACTTTGAGAACGACTCATAGACTATATACTAAAGTGGATAGATAAAACATACCACCAAGGAGTTCAAGTATCCCAAAACGACTTTGTTCCCAGAAGTCAACACTTTCTCAGCATCATCTAATGTAGTTAGATTATACACACCAGGACCAATCTTCTTCTTCACCCATGTCACGATTGTTTCCCTAAAACACAAAACCAATAAAATTATTCAGCAATACTAAACTCCATATCAGATCCGACGATGCCTCAGCAAGATTGAACATAGTACCAAAAATCCAATTTCACTTACTTAGTCCTTCCTCCAGTGTAAGGCTTGTGTTCACCATCAACGAAGAAAAGAATCGTCGGGAATCCCTGAACACTATACTCCTGAGCTAGCTCATTCTCCTCCGTCGCATCGATTTTAGCCAAAACAACACCATCGTCCTTAAGCTCCGTCGCAGCTGCAGCATACTCAGGAACAAGAGACTGACAATGACCACACCACGGCGCATAAAACTCAACCAAAACGTATTGATTATTCTCAATCACATCAGTGAAGTTACGCTCCTTGATAACGACAACGTCTTTCTCATCAATTTCCGGCGTCGGGAGCGGATCGGAATCTGGATTACCTAGATCGGAGAAATCTCCATCTTCATCGTCATCGTCGTTGTACATATCGGGATCTTCGTCTTCACCTCCTTCGAATTCGTCAAGTCCAGTTGAGGAGGAGAGTGAGTCAGCGCCGGGAACGTCGTCTTCTTTGAGATCTTCGAGGAAGCTGAGATCCTCATCGTCGACGTCGTCGGAGGAAGAGGTTGCAAAAGAAGGAGAAACGGCGGAGAAGATGAGAAGTGCGGTGAGTGAGAAGAGGAGCAAAACGCGGAACGCCATTTTAGTGTGAATCGCAAAACTCTGAGATCTAACAACTACACGTACACAAGCTTGTTTCTTTTCTAGTACATGTTCGTTGTTACTAGGCCTGGGCATTCGGATTTCAAATCGGATTCGGATCGGATATATTCGGATTCGGATAATTCGGGTATGAGAATTTATTATCCGTTCGGATTTTATGAATTTTCGGTTCGGTTTCTGTTCGGATATATTCGGATTCGAATAATTTGGGTAGGAGAATTTATTATCCGTTCGGATTTTATGAGTCATCGGTTCGGTTTCGGTTCGGATAGGTGTCGGATTCGGATCGGTTTTTGGGAAAAAAAACTTAAAAATAGTTCAATGTTAATAAAAATTGGTTTAATCTCACTAAAATTTAATTAAATTTTGCAAAAATATGTATAATTTTAACAAATATAACTAAAATTTTTCCGAAGTCTAGGATATTTAGGATATTTTTGTTATTTGCTATAAAATTACAACTAAATAGAACTAATATTTTTGGATATATAATTTTTATTTCCGGTTTTCGGATATCCTTTCGGTTTTCGGTTCGGATCGGATACGGTTCGGGTAATTCGGATAGGAGAATTCATTATCCGTTCGGATTTTGTGACTATTCGGTTCGGGTTCGGTTCCGGATTTTTCGGATCGGTTTTCGGATTTCGGGTTTTATGCCCAGGCCTAGTTGTTACCAAAACAAACGTCGTCGTTTTTGGATTACTCTATGAAATTAAATTAAATTAGGGAATGTAATTATGTCATTGACTAAAAGTCTAAAACTGCTAGTGGTCAAATATTTGGGTAGGCAAGAAAAAAAAATGATTATAATTAATTGTAATTAAATCATTTTAATATAAAGTTATTGTTCTAACTTGAACCAGTTAAGCTTGAAGTCAAACCAAAACTTTGTCAAACCAATTGTAACCAAACTGAATCATAAATAGTTTTATTTTGGTTCCACTTTTATATAAATAAAAATTGACAAAATCTTGAAAAGAAAAAAAAAAAAAAGAAGAAGTATATTTTTGGTTAATTCAAGCATCAGAGTGAGTGACAATAGTGCGAATCATATTAGCACGTTGTTTCTTGATCACAAAGTAGATTCCTAATGAGAGAAATGCGACGAAAGAAAGGCCTAATACTACTCCAATGGTTTCTCCTCGTCCTTCTTCTTCTCTGCGACTACTCTCACTTGTTGTGTGTTCGTCTGATGAAACTTTACTTCCTTGTGAATCTGGTTCTACAATAGATGTCTTTGAAGGTGAAGGTGATGGCGAAGAAGGTGAGTTTTTTGGTGGATTATTGTGATCAGAGAGTGATGATTTTGGGTGAAAGAAATCGTAAGCTTCTGGAGAGAAAGCAGACGGATTTGTATAAGCTGGACCGTGAACAGGTCTGCTTCCAGCAATGGAGACGCAAAGAAGCATAGATAAGCAAGAGAAAAAGAAGAACAAAGAATGAGTTAGGTATGTCATGTTGTTGTTGTTTTTTCGTTCCCTAACAAGTTTTTTTATTTTGCTTAGTGTAAGTGTGTGTGTTTTTGGGTTTTATATAGGATATTGGTTATAGAGGAGATAGTTGTTGCTTGAAGTTCAAATTTGTATGATTGCATATATCAAGAAAAAGAACAAAAGTGTGTTGTTTTTGAATGAGTGAAGAGAACTAGAAGTCATGCATTTTTTGTTGTTTTCAATCTTGTATATATAATTGCCCTGTCTAGTATAGGAGTATTATGTAAATAATGATTAGTTAAAGTCCTAACTGTAATTTCCTAATCTTAGCTTAACCCTAGTCCTTCTCTAGAGTCTGTATAAATATGTGTAAACAACATTCTCTCATTAATAAGATTAATACAAACCTTATATGGTATCAGAGCAAACGCTCCTCTAAACCTAAAACCTTCAAATTTTCTTTCCAGCCGTCCTCTTCCAACACGCACGATGTCACCATCTCTGATACCATGATAATGTGATGAGAGTCAATATACAATTCTTCCAATCTCTATCTCTCATCACATTATCATCTAGAACAATTGTTGATGAATACTTAATCCTTAACAGAAAAAAAAACTGTTGTAATTTATTAGTTTTAGCCTCTCTTTTTTTTTAAACAAATCTTATGATCCTTTGTAATTACTCGTTTATATTTGATATATGTATTAATGTATGTGATGTGGAAGTGTGGAACTAATCATTTTAAAATAAGGGTCATATGATTTGTTCCTCTACTTTCATATATTTAGGGTAAGATTGGTGGCAAAGAATGCATGAAGAGTTTGTTAGCTTGAAGGAACCGCAATGGAAATATAAAACAAGGATAAGGAAATTTTATTTATCGGGTCCACAATTTGGGTTATATTGGAATCCCTAATTAATTAACATAAACCTAAAAAAAGGTGTTCGAAGGAAATACAAAGTTGAGATTTAAAACATACATGACATATGTTGATTCCCGAGAGAAATAGAATCAAAATACAAAATTAACGTTAACTCTACGAAAAGATAAAGCAAACTTGAGATTTTATCTTAACGCAACATTAATTAAAACCACATTTACAATTACACGAATGGGAAAATATTCCATGAAGTGAAGAAAAAAGAACAGAAACATGTAAAGAAGATACATGTAACTTCCGCTTAATACATTGGTAAGCATCATTTGATTAAAGATTAATAACTTGTGGTTTAATTTAAAATAAATATAAATTAAGCAAAGCTCCTAAAGGAGCCAAGAGCTTTAATCGCAGCCGCTCTTAAAATAAACTGATGGTAAAACGCTGCCGCTGCTGCTCCGATCATCGGTCCAACCCAAAATATCCACTGTTTCAATTATAAAAACAAATGAGTTTATAATTAAACACCATATCAATTCATATAAATTTTGAAAATATGTTTATATAGAATTTTTTGACATACTTAACGAACTTGGTTTAAAAAAAAAGGAAAAAACAAATTGACGTACTTGGTCGTCCCAGGCCTTTTCGTTGTTGTAAATAACGGCAGCTCCAAAGCTACGAGCCGGGTTGATACCGGTTCCGGTGATTGGAATGGTGGCTAAATGAACCATGAAGACGGCAAATCCAATGGGAAGTGGCGCCAACACTGGCACGTGAGAGTCACGAGCACTTCGCTTGGGATCGGTGGCCGAGAAGACGGTGTAAACAAGGACAAAAGTTCCGATGATCTCGGCACCAAGTCCGGTACCTTTGTTGTAGCCGTCGGCGAGCTCGTTGGCTCCACCTCCATATCTAAATATCATTACCAATATTTGTAATTAGTAAAACAGTGTAATATGATCAATTAAACCAAACAAACTAGAAGTTTGAGACATGATGAAACCTGGTGTAGTAAGAACTTTGGAATGCTTTGACGAGACCACAACCGCAGATGGCACCAAGGCACTGAGCCACAATGTATAACACTGTCCGCACCAATGACACTTTACGAGCCAGGAATAGTCCCACCGTCACAGCCGGATTTATATGACCACCTTCATAAACATAAACAAATTAATTAATCAAACAAATTGTAAGGATGTATTTAATTAGATAAACCGAACCAAACTAATTCAAACTGAACCGTAAAGAAACAATAATAGTATTTTGAGCCTGATGATGATTATAAAATATGAATCCTACCTAAATCGAAAAAAAAGATTTAGAACAAACAAAAAAAATCAAACCAAGAGATGACTTTTTTTTTTAATAGAAAACATAAAGATGAATATATTTGATTAAAATCTGAAATTTAAAAAACCAAACAAAACCAAACTGAACCGAAAACCCGGTATCAAATACGTAAATTTTTATTTTTATGTTTTGGAGAAAATCTATGTACCGTGACTCGTACGTTTGTAATTGTATCTAAACATACTTACCGGAGATACCGGCGGTACAGTAAACGAGAACAAAGATCATTCCACCGAACGCCCACGCAATTCCCAATATTCCTACGCCGCCGCAATCTACTCCTCCGGCGGTTGCATCGGTTTGAGCTTTGTAGCCGATTACGGTTAGGACTGAGACGTAGAGGAACAGAAGTGTCGCCACGAACTCAGCTATGACCGCTCTATAGAGCGACCACTTCCGAATTTCCTCCATGTCCAACAATGGTGCGGGAGGCGGATCCCTGTAGTCTCTCGCCGCCGGTGCTCCACCCTCTTGAACATCATCATCTTTTGCCATGGCCAAAGATGAGAGAGATGAGCTTTAATATTTGTTCAGATTTGTAGCTTTTTGGTTTGTTTGTGTGTGTATATATATAGATATACATAGAGTCATAGAGACTGAGCAAAGGTTTGGTATAAGTACATTATAAGAAAATTTAATATATGGTTAAAAAAAAAAATTAATATATGGTTGATAATTATGTGGACAGTTAATTGATTTTTTTTTTTTTTTGGAAATAATTATGAAGGAATCTGATCTAATTTGTACCTCATATGAGCTGGTGCTTGGTGTTCTAAAAATCTCCGCCTACCCCGATTACTCTCCGCTTAATCTCTAGGCCCACTCTATCCGCCTCGATTAATGACTAATCCCTTAAAAATCAGTTACCCGATTACTCTCCGTCTAATGCGATTACTTCCCGCCTAATCCGATTACTTCCCGCCTAATCCGATTGTTCCCCTCCTAAGCTTACATATTCCGATTATTTTTAGATTGCAAGTATAAGAAAAACTTTTTATTTTTGTTATTCAATCTTTTGAATTGGGAGTTTGTGATGTTTTACAATAACTTATGTTCAAATTTTAATAAAATCAATAAATTTTTAATAAGAATCATAAAAATTTGTCTAAAAAAATATATTTTAATAGATTTACTGCAATTTTGAAAACAATATTAGATTAATATGTTTTTAAAATATTAAAATAACCCTAAAACTAGTCCCCGATTAATTCCCGATTTTAATCCGATTTTCTGATTAATCGCTAGGCCTATACCGAGCGCCCGACTAGCACCTAGCGATTTTTTAAACAAGGGTGGGTATTATCTGTTATGAGAGACAATCTCAATTTTGCTATTATGTTGATTTGCATATACTGGTTTAATTTCTTAGAGTTTTGTTGTTGGTTAGCAATATTCGTGTACTTTTACCACAAAATGGATTTGTTGGGTTTAATATTCAGTCCGCTAGAATGTAGGGATGAGTCATTTTATGCATGAAAATTTGAATATATAAATAGTAAATTAAGTATATATATATATATATATATATATATATATATATATATATATATATATATATTCTTTTGATAAAATAAAAGATTAAGTAGATTCAAGTAATTTATGACTTAATTACTGCGATATACACTCGTTTTAAACGGGGAGGATTATTTTATTGGTAATCTCACAAGTCACAACATCAAATGTGTATAACTAGTATATACGTGGTATGACAAAACCATTCACCTCTAACCAATTAGTATTCTTTTTTGTCAGATAATAATATAGACTCACAAAAATGCCCCTTTTTCAATACCTCTTTTCAAAAATGCCCCATCTGAATGTCCATTTTTAAAAATACCCCTTTTATGTACAAAATGACTAAATTACCCTTCTTTTAATAAAAGATATCATAAATATATAAGGAAATATAACAAAATTAGGTCCACAAAATACAAAATATTTTTTGGCGGGAAAAGTGATCCCCCAATTTTTCCCGCCAAAACACTTGTAAAAATTTGTAAAACCTTTAAAATACCTTGTAAAATTTTCCGCCAAAAAATTTTTTTTGCGGGAAAAATTTTCCCGCCAAAAAATTTTTTTTGTTAAATTTTTGGCGGGAATTTTTTGGCGTTAAATTTTTGGCGGGAAAAATTTACAAGGTATAAAATATTTTGTATTTTGTGGACCTAATTTTGTTTCAAATAAGGGTAAAATGGTCATTAAAAATTAAAAGAGGGCAAACTTAAAAATGGACTCTCAAAATGGGCATTTTTGAAAAGGGGTATTGAAAAAGGGGCATTTTTAACAATTTCTTTTTACCCGATTTTCAATTAAAAACAGAAATATGACGATCATCCTTCAACGTACTTTTTTTTTTTTTTTTTTGGTAAACAGAAATTAGAATTTTTGAAGGCTCGGATATATGAAAGAATGAACATAACTATAGTCCTTCAACGTACTTTAGTAAATTACGAGTATAATTTTCGCAAAGCAACAAATCTTTAAAGCCAATCCTTTGTCTACACCATGTTATGTCAAGTAAGAATAAGATGCTTCTTCAATTCAACATTTTGTATATTATGCGTACATTTTCCGAATAACATGACCGAGGATCAGAGCTATCTTAAATTGTATGATTAGAGGACGATAAACTTGTTTTAATCCGTCCAACCAACCCCTTGATTTAGACATTCTTGTGTTTGTAATAATTGGGTTTGGTCGACCCTTGATTTAATTTTATTCGATTGTTGTTGCAACATCAAATTTCATTTCCTTATTTATTCATTATTTTCAATTTTCTGATCTATTCAATGTTTTTTGTTATAACGAGTCCAACATGTTAGATTAAATGA